GTGAGAGTCTCACTTAGACACTCACTTAGACAGACACTCACTCAGACACTCACTCAGACACTCACTTAGACACTCACTTAGACAGACACTCACTCAGACACTCACTCACTCAGACACTCACTTAGACACTCAGACACTCACTTAGACACTCACTTAGACAGACACTCACTCACATAGACACTCACTCAGACACTCACTCAGACACTCACTCACTCAGAGACTCACTCAGAGACTCACTCACTCAGACACTCACTCAGACACTCACTCAGACACTCACTCACTCAGACACTCACTCAGACACTCACTCAGAATCTCCGCTCCAGAAGTCGTCACGGAGAGGGCGGTCGTGACATCCGGTGAGAGTCTCACTTAGACACTCACTTAGACACTCACTCAGACACTCACTCAGACACTCACTCACTCAGACACTCACTCACTCACTCAGAGACTCACTCAGAGACTCACTCAGAGACTCACTCAGAGACTCACTTAGACACTCACTCACTCAGACACTCACTCAGAGACTCACTCACTCAGAGACTCACTCAGAGACTCACTCACTCACTTAGACACTCACTTAGCCACTCAGACACTCACTCACTCAGAGACTCACTCACTCAGACACTCACTCAGACACTCACTCACTTAGACAGACACTCACTCAGACACACACTCAGACACTCACTCAGACATTCACTCAGAGACTCACTCACTCAGAGACTCACTCACTCAGAGACTCACTCACACACTCACTCACTCACTCAGACACTCACTCACTCAGACACTCACTCACTCAGACACTCACTCAGAGACTCACTAAGAGACTCACTCAGAGACTCACTCACTCAGACACTCACTCAGACACTCACTCACACACTCACTCACTCACTCAGACACTCACTCAGACACTCACTCACTCAGAGACTCACTCAGACACTCACTCACTCAGACACTCACTCAGACCCTCACTCACTCACTCAGACACTCACTCACTCACTCAGACACTCACTCAGACACTCACTCACTCAGAGACTCACTCAGACACTCACTCACTCAGACACTCACTCACTCAGAGACTCACTCAGAGACTCACTCACTCAGAGACTCACTCAGAGACTCACTCAGAGACTCACTCACTCAGAAACTCACTCAGAGACTCACTCAGAGACTCACTCAGAGACTCACTCACTCAGAAACTCATTCAGAGACACACTCAGAGACTCACTCACTCAGAGACTCACTCAGAGACTCACTCAGAGACTCACTCACTCAGAGACTCACTCAGAGACTCACTCAGAGACTCACTCACTCAGACACTCACTCACTCAGAGACTCACTCAGAGACTCACTCAGAGACTCACTCAGACACTCACTCAGACACTCACTCACTCAGACACTCACTCACTCAGACACTCACTCACTCAGAGACTCACTCAGAGACTCACTCACTCAGAGACTCACTCAGAGACTCACTCAGAGACTCACTCACTCAGAAACTCACTCAGAGACTCACTCAGAGACTCACTCAGAGACTCACTCACTCAGAGACTCATTCAGAGACACACTCAGAGACTCACTCACTCAGAGACTCACTCAGAGACTCACTCAGAGACTCACTCACTCAGAGACTCACTCAGAGACTCACTCAGAGACTCACTCAGAGACTCACTCACTCAGACACTCACTCACTCAGAGACTCACTCAGAGACTCACTCAGAGACTCACTCAGACACTCACTCAGACACTCACTCACTCAGAGACTCACTCACTCAGAGACTCACTCAGAGACTCACTCAGAGACTCACTCAGAGACTCACTCAGAGACTCACTCACTCAGAGACTCACTCAGAGGCTCACTCAGAGACTCACTCAGTCAGAGACTCACTCAGAGACTCACTCAGAGACTCACTCAGTCAGAGACTCACTCAGAGACTCACTCAGAGACTCACTCACTCAGACACTCACTTAGACACTCACTCACTTAGACACTCACTTAGACACTCACTCACTCAGACACTCACTTAGACACTCACTCACTTAGACAGACACTCACTTAGACACTCACTCACTCAGACACTCACTCACTCAGACACTCACTCACTCACTTAGACAGACACTCACTCAGCCACTCACTCAGACACTCACTTAGACACTCACTCAGAAATTAACTCAGACACTCACTTAGACACTCACTCAGACACTCACTCAGACAATCACTCAGACACTCACTCACTTAGACAGACACTCACTCAGACACTCACTCACTCAGACACTCACTCACTCAGAGACTCACTCAGACACTCACTCAGACACTCACTCAGAGACTCACTCACTCAGACACTCACTCAGACACTCACTCAGAGACTCACTCAGAGACTCACTCACTCAGAGACTCACTCAGACACTCACTCACTCAGACAGACACTCACTCACACACTCACTCAGACACTCACTCACACACTCACTCACTCAGACACTCACTTAGACACTCACTCAGACACTCACTTAGAACCACACTCACTCAGACACTCACTCACTCAGACAGACACTCACTCAGACACTCACTCAGACACTCACTCACTCAGACACTCACTCACTTAGACACTCACGTAGACACTCACTTAGACACTCACTCAGACACTCACTTAGACAGACACTCACTCAGACACTCACTCACTCAGACAGACACTCACTCAGACACTCACTCAGACACTCACTCACTCAGACACTCACTCACTTAGACACTCACTTAGACACTCAGACACTCACTCAGACACTCACTCAGACACTCACTCCCTCAGACAGACACTCACTCAGACACTCACTCACACACTCACTCAGACACTCACTCACACACTCACTCACTCAGACACTCACTTAGACACTCACTCAGACACTCACTTAGACAGACACTCACTCAGACACTCACTCACTCAGACAGACACTCACTCAGACACTCACTCAGACACTCACTCACTCAGACACTCACTCACTTAGACACTCACTTAGACACTCACTTAGACACTCACTCAGACACTCACTCAGACACTAACTCACTTAGACACTCACTTAGACACTCAGACACTCACTCAGACACTCACTCAGACACTCACTCCCTCAGACGCTCAGACACTCACTCATTCAGACACTCACTCAGACACTCACTCACTCACTTAGACACTCACTCACTTAGACACTCACTCACTTAGACACTCACTCACTCAGACACTCACTGAGACACTCACTCACTCAGACACTCAGACACTCACTCACTCAGACACTCACTCACTCAGACACTCACTCACTTAGACACTCACTCACTCAGACACTCACTCACTCACTTAGACACTCACTCACTTAGACACTCACTCACTCAGACACTCACTCACTCAGACACTCACTCAGACACTCACTCAGACACTCACTCAGAGACTCACTCACTTAGACACTCACTCAGACACTCACCCACTCAGAGACTCACTCACTCACTTAGACACTCACTTAGACACTCACTCACTCAGACACTCACTTAGACACTCACTCACTTAGACACTCACTTAGACACTCACTCACTCAGACACTCACTTAGACACTCACTCAATTAGACACTCACTCACTTAGACACTCACTTAGACACTCACTCACTTAGACACTCACTCACTCAGACACTGAGACACTCACTCAGACACTCACTCAGACACTCACTCACTTAGACACTCACTCACTCAGACACTCACTCACTCAGAAACTCACTCAGAGACTCACTCAGAGACTCACTCAGAGACTCACTCACTCACAGACTCATTCAGAGACACACTCAGAGACTCACTCACTCAGAGACTCACTCAGAGACTCACTCAGAGACTCACTCACTCAGAGACTCACTCAGAGACTCACTCAGAGACTCACTCAGAGACTCACTCACTCAGACACTCACTCACTCAGAGACTCACTCAGAGACTCACTCAGAGACTCACTCAGACACTCACTCAGACACTCACTCACTCAGAGACTCACTCACTCAGAGACTCACTCAGAGACTCACTCAGAGACTCACTCAGAGACTCACTCACTCAGAGACTCACTCAGAGGCTCACTCAGAGACTCACTCAGTCAGAGACTCACTCAGAGACTCACTCAGAGACTCACTCAGTCAGAGACTCACTCAGAGACTCACTCAGAGACTCACTCACTCAGACACTCACTTAGACACTCACTCACTTAGACACTCACTTAGACACTCACTCACTCAGACACTCACTTAGACACTCACTCACTTAGACAGACACTCACTTAGACACTCACTCACTCAGACACTCACTCACTCAGACACTCACTCACTCACTTAGACAGACACTCACTCAGCCACTCACTCAGACACTCACTTAGACACTCACTCAGACACTAACTCAGACACTCACTTAGACACTCACTCAGACACTCACTCAGACAATCACTCAGACACTCACTCACTTAGACAGACACTCACTCAGACACTCACTCACTCAGACACTCACTCACTCAGAGACTCACTCAGACACTCACTCAGACACTCACTCAGAGACTCACTCACTCAGACACTCACTCAGACACTCACTCAGAGACTCACTCAGAGACTCACTCACTCAGAGACTCACTCAGACACTCACTCACTCAGACAGACACTCACTCACACACTCACTCAGACACTCACTCACACACTCACTCACTCAGACACTCACTTAGACACTCACTCAGACACTCACTTAGAACCACACTCACTCAGACACTCACTCACTCAGACAGACACTCACTCAGACACTCACTCAGACACTCACTCACTCAGACACTCACTCACTTAGACACTCACGTAGACACTCACTTAGACACTCACTCAGACACTCACTTAGACAGACACTCACTCAGACACTCACTCACTCAGACAGACACTCACTCAGACACTCACTCAGACACTCACTCACTCAGACACTCACTCACTTAGACACTCACTTAGACACTCA